TATTAATAAGACGAATGTATTTCTGGAGTGAGCACTGCTTTGTACAGCCCTGTATCAAATTCTGTCCCTGCGGTTATATCTAATACCAACGACCTGAAAACACTTCATCCTAACACCTTGCATGGCACTAAGGGACAAGAGCAATATCTAGATCAGACTGAATCTTGGGCACTGACATTCTTTCTAGCTGTGCAAAAAAAGAAAGAAATTGAGGGAAAGCAACTGACACAATGCTCCTATTACACAGTAATAGCTGTCGTCAGGCCTCATAAATCACGTTCTGCCATGTTCTTTAATTATGTTGTTAAAGACTCCAATGTGATGGTAGATACAAGGCTAAAACATTTCATACCATTTCATTTTCATTTATCTCGATTTGTGAAATAAGGAAGAGTTCCATCTAAGAAAAGCTGAAAATTTACACTATTAAGTAACCCTTTTCAAAAAGCTTAGCTGGGCGCTACGGCTCCTGCTTATAATTTCGGCTACTTGGGACGTTGAGGCGGGAGGATCAGGATGGCTTGAAGTCAGGAGTGGGCAACATAGACCAGCCTGGGCAACACAGTGAGGCCCCTATCTCTTAAAAAAAAAGAAAAATTTTGATTAGCCAAGCGTGATGGCACACCGGTAGTTCCAACTACTTAGGACGCTGAGACAGGGAGATCACTTAATAACCCTATGAGTTCGAGGCTGTAGTGAATGGTCCCACCACTGCCCTCCCACCTGGGTAAGAGAGCTAGATCCCATCTCTGTTTTAAAAAAAATAAATAAAAAAAAGCTTAGGCAGATAAACAAATCTTTCTTAAATGTAATCTCAAGAATTTAGGGAACATTATTTACATTCCTAAGCCCTCAAGGTTAATGCAATGATCAGTTTCACTATAGAAATTTAGTGATAATATCAGAAGTATTAACCATGAGCAGGACTCCACAAACATGGACACCTACACAAACTGGTTCACCAGAACACTCACTTCTTTAGTTTTTTAGTTAATCATCCAAAAGTCCTTTCATTTGTTATCATTTTTCTCATTGGCTATCTCTCATCTTTAATTTACTGGCATAAGCTGGTAAAAAATAGCAAATCAAATGAGTGAGAACCCAGGGCAGGGAAGGGAAAGTTGTTGGTTCACACCAAGAGATTCTGTTTTCTTTTTGATTCATTTGGTTGATACGTTATTGTATGAAATCAACGTCAGGATGTGACTGTTTCCTCCATTGGTGAAATGATTTGAAGTTTCAGGAGGTCCCTTTATCAGAACATTAAATCATCTCTATGCTAAAGATAAGGAGAAGAGACTGGGCAGATATTACAAGGGTGAAATGATACATGCCTTTTTTATGAGTTTGTCCTGTTTTTCATCTAATACATATTGCTGCCATATGGTTCCAATATACCCCTGGCCTCACTTGCCTTGAGAGCTCTCCATGTATTACTGGTCTGATCTGCCCTGTAGAAAAGGCTGCCACTCGCCGAGACACCTGAGTGTTGGTGAGACAGAATGCCCTTGTCACCAACACCACTGCTTACAACAAAATATTTAAGAGCTCAAAAAAATTACTATGAAGAGTGTCCTGCAATTTAGCCTTAGCTCATTACTCATTTAGAGTATTTCTTTAAGATGAAGCAATGTGTCCTGGTGTGAGCCTCTGCGGTACCAAACCAGACAGTGGCACAGGCAGCAGAGACACCCTGCTTCTCCCTCACCCAGCAAGTCTCAAGTCTTTGCATCCTAAAATGGAGACCCATCTGCAATTGCTTAAAATTGCTAAAATAGCAAGAAAAGTATTCCAGGGAAGGACCCAAGTAAGCTGTGAGTATTCACTCCATTTTGAGAGGCATACCTGCTCTAGTTAACCTTGGTCAATCAGCCCCTTCCATCAAACTCAAGGTTGGTGGGAGTGTTGGAGGACTACAGAAAACAATGGTGTGCATCGGAAGGGCATATACATGCAGATTCTCAGCACTCTGAGGAATCTGAGAGCCGAGTTCTGTACCTGTGGCACCAGGCCACATGCAGACACGTTACAGCTCAAAAATATGAACGTCACAGGACTCTGAGAAAGTGACTTTGTAAGGCTTTCTATAATACAAGGAATTATGTCTGTTTATTAAACCATTTCTGGGAATTTCTTCACTATTTCTATATATAGTGGCATCTATAATATTTCTAAAAGGAAAGGAATTTGGCTGTCATTAAATTATTTCTGGGAAATTCTTCACAATTTCACTATATACCTATACATTACATAGTTAATATCTCTCTTCTTGAAAATAACATCTATAGATTTTTATATTTTAAACTCAAGTGAATCCTACAAATACTGAATGCAACCATGAGTACTGCAGCACAACAACTGAGGGGCCGTGTGGCTCGCACTGGAGCACCAAATTAGACCTGGAAGCATACGGCGGTGGGCATTCTCTCAAGCTCTGCAACACTGGCTTTTAGACTAAAATGCATCTAACTGTCAGGAGATGAGACAAATTATTTACCAAATGCAAATTCTTTGTTACAGTAGACAATTAAAAATGGAATATGTCCATCATCTAAATGCCCCCATCATCTAAAATATGAAATAGGCTCATAAGTAGAAAGGCCTAGAAGACCTCCAGAGAAGCAATGAGTACAAACTCACTATACCCAGAGCCAAGCACACAGGGGCCAGAGGGAAGAGGAGGAATAAGTGCTAATGAAAGGTTTTATGGAGGAAGTGATTTGGGGTAATTACTCCTTCTATACGAAGTCCATAAACTGGCAAAATCAAGTGGCCAAAAATACTTCTAGTTTTGCCATAAGCAAAGGGAAGGCATAGATGAAGGGAAAATATACAGAAACAAGATATTCTTGTGTGGGAAGAAGCACACAAGTTTGCATGGATATCATGTTTTACGTGGAATGTGACTGAATTTCATATTTCACATTTCCAAATCTCCCTTTCTCACACTTAATTTTACTGAAACAGCCTGTCACTCACTGTTAGAAAGCATTGTGCAGGGCACCATAAACATAAAGACGAATGACCTATACTCTCCGACAGCAAAGAATGCACTCTCCTCCAGGGGCCCCTTCCCCATGATCCCTGCTAGATCCTAAGAGCAGGGATTCCTGTCTTGTATTCCTAGACTGCATATTCATTTACTGCACAAATAGTTTATGTAATGTTCTAAATATTATGCTAGGAATATAATGGTAAAAAATGACATGGTCTCTCTCCTCTGAAGGAGCTTATAGTAGTGGAAGAAACAAAAACAAACAGTTGGAGAGATGAGTGCTGGGACAGGAGAAAGGCACAGAGTTGTAAGCACATGCAGAAAGAGCCCACCCACCAAGGCTTGGGAAGGTGAAGCTTCCTAAAGGAAGTGACATGACATCCAAGCTGAGGCCTCAAGGATGAAGAGAAGTTAGCCAGCAAAGAAGGCAGGGAAGCAGTTTTCCACACAAATGAGAGTCTGTGCAAATGTCTAAGGTGAGAGAAGTCAGGGAACCTAGGAGGAGGATTTACCAAATAGCCTTTTCAATTAATTTTAATCTTCTCTCTGCTCTAAGTTAATACTTCTGACATTAGTAAGAATATACAGGATTCCCTAATAGAAGATTCTGGGTAATTCACAGCATTGTACAATAAAAACAAATATGGTCCACATACGTCATTTAAAATTTTGTAATAGTCATGTTTTTAAAAAGTAAAATTAAATGGAATAAGCTTAATAACATTTTATTTAATGGAATATTTCTAAAATACTATTTCAATAGGTAATCAATACTAAAAATATTGAGATAATTTACATTTTTCCATGCTAAGTCTATAAAATCTAGTGTGCGTTTTATACTTACAGCACATCTCAATCTGGACTGGCCACATTTCAAGTGCTCAATAGCCACATATGGCTAGTGGGTACCATACTGGAGAGTGTAGATCTTGAATGTACTTTGGGAAGCATTTCTGAGAGTTTTAATATACTTTTTATCATTTGTGTTTGTTTTCTAATTTATAAAAATAATGCAATTCAGTTTTTCAATGGGGGGAAAAACACAGAAAATCTCAATTTTGAAAAGCCATAATCTAATCCAGTTGACATTTGGATGTGCGTGCTTGTAAAACCACTGTCTTATGTATAAAATATATGTGGGGTAGGCTTTTTAAAAAGTAAGGTCAGGCTGGGCATGGTAGCTCCTACCTGTAATCCTAGCATTTTGGGAGGCCGAGGTGGGAGAATTGTTTGAGGTTAGGAATTCAAGACCAGCCTAAGCAAGAGTCAGACCCCATCTATACAAAAAATAGAAAATTAGTTGGGTATGTTGGCACACGCCTGTAGTCCCAGCTACTTGGGAGGCTGAGGCAGGAGGATTCCTTGAGCCCAGGAGTCTGAGGTTGCAGTGAATTATGATGATGCCACTGCACTCTAGCCTGGGCCACAGAGTGAGACTCTGTCTCAAAAATAAATAAATAAATAAATAAAAATAAAAAGCTCTGTCTCAATAGCTCTTAGCAATGTAAACATTTAGATTCATTTTTATGAACCCACAAAAAATTATCTTTTAGGAAAAAAAACTCAGATCACATTTTCAATATAGCTAAAATCAATACATTAAACAGAGTTCTGAATAAAATGAAACATTAACTCTGCTTGTTATTACCTTTTAAAACTATATTTAAACGCACATTTCCTGGAACACTAGAATTTTACAGGGAACAATTACCATTTTTGGGAAATGCTGGTCTCCATATTGCCTGAAAGTTCTCAGACTACCCTGCTCCTCCGATCTATTCTCTGTTCATTGCAAAAAACGAAAAAGGAAGGAAGAGGAGGAGAGAGAAGGAGGGAGGAGAAGTGCCTGACTTATACAGAGTAGAAGGTTAGTTTCAAGAACTTGGTGGGTTTGACCATAAGCCAGTAAGCCGGCCTTGGCTTACTACTCTGCAAATGATTAGGAGGCCATAAATGTCCTTTACTTGAGTGACTAGTTCACAACTCTTTTCAGATCTTTGCCTTCAGAAGTTCCAAGATGATCAATTCAAACACCACAGAGCCTCCGGATGACTCCTGCTCCCAGAACACCCTGATCACCCGGCAAATCATTCCTATGCTATACTTCGTGGTTTTCATGGCAGGGATTCTACTCAATGGAGTGTCAGGATGGATATTCTTTTACGTGCCCAGCTCTAAGAGTTTCATCATCTATCTCAAGAACATTGTTGTTGCAGACTTTCTCATGAGCCTGACTTTTCCTTTCAAGATCCTTGCTGACTCGGGCCTGGGCCCCTGGCAGCTGAACGTGTTTGTGTGCAGGGTCTCGGCCGTGCTCTTCTACGTCAACATGTATGTCAGCATCGTGTTCTTTGGGCTCATCAGCTTTGACAGGTACCATAAAATCGTAAAGCCGCTTTTGACTTCCTTCATCCAGTCAGTGAATTACAGCAAGCTCCTGTCGGTGACAGTATGGATGCTCATGCTCCTTCTTGCTGTTCCGAACATCATTCTGACCAACCAGAGTGTTAAGGAGGTTACGCAGATAAAATGTGTGGAACTGAAAAATGAACTGGGACGCAAGTGGCACAAAGCATCAAACTACATCTTCGTGAGCATTTTCTGGATTGTGTTTCTTTTGCTAATCATTTTCTATACTGCTATCACGAGGAAAATCTTTAAGTCCCACCTTAAGTCCAGAAGGAATTCCGCTTCGGTCAAAAAGAAATCCAGCCGCAACATATTCAGCATCGTGTTTGTATTTTTTGTCTGTTTCGTACCTTACCACATTGCCAGAATCCCCTACACAAAGAGCCAAACAGAAGCTCATTATAGCTGCCAGTCAAAAGAAATCTTGTTCTGTGTGAAGGAATTCACTCTGCTACTATCAGCTGCAAATGTATGTCTGGACCCCATTATTTACTTCTTTCTATGCCAGCCATTTAGGGAAATCTTATGTAAGAAACTGCACATTCCATTAAAAGCTCAGAATGACCTAGACAATTCCAAAACCAAAAGAGAAATTACAATGCATGAAAGCACAGATACTCTGTGAATTCCTGTACCCTTTCGAACTATGTCCTTGTATAACATGTTGTCATCTTCAATTACATAAGAGGAATGAATAAGAAACATGCCCATTATAGGTATCATCTCTAGCATTACTATCCAATTTAGAACATTAATAAAATTCAAATATAAGTTTCCACGCTTTTCTGTAACATCAGAGGAAAAAGTACCCATCAGTGGATTTCTCTCTTAATACTGTCCTTTTTTATTTCCTGTTAATAAAAAGAAAAAAAAATTACATACAATTATTCAGTCCTATTCCTTCCAAATAGGTTTAAATTTATAATCACTACTCTGGTCAGTTAATGTAGAACTTTAAATAGTAAATAAAGAAAATAGGAAGTAATTAAAGATAATTTACATGGGAATCTTATTTCTCTAAACAAAAGAATCAAGTTTTGGCCGGGCGCGGTGGCTCACGCCTGTAATCCTAGCTCTCTGGGAGGCCGAGGCGGGTGGATTGCTCAAGGTTAGGAGTTCGAGACCAGCCCGAGCAAGAGCGAGACCCCGTCTCTACTAAAAAAATAGAAAGAAATGATCTGGACAACTAAAAATATATACATATAGAAAAAATTAGCCAGGCATGGTGGTGCATGCCTGTAGTCCCAGCTACTCGGGAGGCTGAGGCAGGAGGATCACTTGAGCCCAGGAGTCTGAGATTGCTGTGAGCTAGGCTGACGCCACGGCACTCACTCTAGCCCGGGCAACAAAGCGAGACTCTGTCTCAAAAAAAAAAAAAAGAATCAAGTTTAGTATGTGATTTTTTTCCAACAAGGTCCTTAAAGACCAACTTAAAATCAGGTATAGTTTGTAGTAAAGAAAAAAAAAAAAAAAAGTCAAGTCTCTCTGATTTTAAGGAGCAGGATAAGCAGGCACCCAGAAAATCACTTAAGAAATCCCTTACTGATTTATCTCATGGCACTGCAAAGGATAACAGATATAAATTGTGTACTTTCCAATAAAAACATAATTTTTTTCTGAGAGCATCCTGAGGATGATATTAGATACATGCTAAATATATTTTATACAAAGACTTATTAAAGCCCTTTAAGGAGTCCAGGGTCCTGGTATTAAAATATTAAGTGAACTCTACTGAGAGAAACTAGATATTGGCACATGTTACCAGCAAATTCCCCTGTTCAGTAACATGGGAAAAAACAAAATGACTGGGAAAAAGACACACACCCTAGAACATATATTATTCTCTTGTTGGGGTGTGGGACACAACAGTTTTCCTAGAAAGCAAACGGACTTGATTTTTAAAAATCTAAAATTTACAATAATGAGTATAAAATTACATATAAAATAAAAATTCACAAATCACATTTTCTAGAAACCAGATGAATTTAATGTATGGAAGATATGGGATATGGTTGTTGGCTTACAAGTTATCAAAACTAAATTCTCTGCTATTAACTGGCTAGAAGACCTTCAGCCCATCTTTCATATGTTCCACCCATGCATTTTTCCAAGTAATATTTGTACCTATTTCATGCTTTACTGTGTACATACTAAAAAAGAAATTATTTTTAATACTGTCATTTTTTTCTTAATAATCAATGTATGAGGAAACGTTATCAGATTTCCTCACAGTCAAGACATGGGTGGTTTCTTTAATACCCTCAATTATGCATGCTAACACAAAGAAGATAGTTACATAGAAAATTCACAATTTCTATTTGCCAGTGATTTTTCAAAATTAGTATTTTATATGCTCTAGGACATTATGATAGTTTAGGCAAAACTTAGAAAACACACCTTAAATTGAGGAAGAGCTGGGAAGGTTTTCACTTTTTTTTTTTTTTTGAGACAGAGTCTCACTTTGTTGCCCGGGCTAGAGTGAGTGCTGTGGCGTCAGCCTAGCTCACAGCAATCTCAGACTCCTGGGCTCAAGCAATCCTACTGCCTCCGCCTCCCAAGTAGCTGGGACTACAGGCATGCACCACCATGCCTGGCTAATTTTTTTTAATATATATATTTTTAGCTGTCCAATTAATTTCTTTCTATTTTTGGTAGAGACGGGGTCTCGCTCTTGCTCAGGCTGGTCTTGAACTCCTGAGCTCAAACAATCCGCCTGCCTCGGCCTCCCAGAGTGCTAGGATTACAGGCGTGAGCCACCGCGCCCAGCCAAGGTTTTCACTTTTGGTATCTACTTTCTACCCTACTAAGCTAGCTCCCTGCTCTCAACTCTAGGTCAAATATTCTCTCTCAAAAAGGAAAGGAAAAATCCACTGAGCTATGATAAACATTCTTGGTAAACTAAGCTTGCTATCATTGTTTGCCTAAAAACATTTTCAAAAATAAATTGGCAGTGTTTATTCTTCACAACTGCCATTGGCAAAGACGAATGAATGAATACTTGAGTTTTAAATGCCCCCTACTGGGCCATGGGAAAAAATGAAAGTAAAAAAAGAAAAGAGGAGTAGCACCAAGTAATGCCTTTGAGAGAACCGTGCTAAAGCACACAAGTAATGTGGAAGGAAGATTTTTCACGAAACATGCAATAGTGGATAAGGATATTGTTCAGTAACATTTACTGCACGTTAGAACTCTCAGGTCCAGAGTAACAACTAAAAGCAAAGTAGAGCACTGGCAATAATGGATTAACCCAGAAACTTCCCAGAGATCACCAGCATGAGTGCAGGTGCACAACACAGAACACTCACCCCGTCCTTCTGTAGACAAAGCTACAGTGCAGGCCCTCCAGCGCTCAGGGTGCCCACTGAGGCTTACAACTCAGGTGCCTGCAGTGGCAAATATGGTAATGTAAGCATGGCTGTAAGAAAATAGGAAGCTGAGGATGATGGTGGACTTGTGCCTCACCTCACCAAGAAAGATTATTGGGCCTTTAGCTTAAGACAATTATTTTCTCATTCATCAAGAGACATAAAATCACACATTTTTTATACTTCTGGGCCAACAATTAAAAGAAAACTCACCTGTGGATAGAAGATGTCAAAAGCCGCTCTGCAACATCTGTAATGCAGAAATCTAACGAAAAATGTTCAAAAGTGGCTCATGACTATGGCTAAAAATTTCACTTAAATGGGAATCCTTACATTTTCACTGAACTGAGATTCCATTGTGATGAATAATTGATTCAACTATTAATACCTATACAAAAATGTTCTAAAGTATTTTTATAAAAGGAATATTCAAGATAAGAAGAATCAAGAAACAAAGAGATCACAAGAGATCATAATCATATAAAAATATTACACATGACACCTACCCACTGAGGTGGATGGACCTTGCAGTGGTCATTTACAAAATGTCGTTGATGGTAGTGCTCATTTACTGGTCAACTCCTCAGCCTCCATTCTCTTTTCCCAGCAACGGAAACAAAACTTTTCCTTTGGGAAAGTCATTTTTCCCTTTCTCAACCATACAGCCTCCCATGGGGCTGACCCTGCCCCCACGTCAGAGGCAGGCCATAATTGGCTCTAGGTGAGCAGTGTGTCTTTTTCCACTGGCCACAAGTTGGGATGGAACATGACCCAATTTGACCTAATTACAGCAAATCCAGGTTTCTAAAGAAATTCTCTGGAGGGTGTGCTATGAAGATATAAAGTCTAGAAGTGTGTCTTTCATTTGGCTACCATAAGCAGAGAGCCTCAAGCGCCCTGTGAGCTGAAGCCGGCACCATGGAAGGCAGACGGAGGAAATGGTGCATGGTCCATACCCCGTCCTGGCTACACAGCCCTCACCTAAAGCAAAACCCACAAATTTAGACATTCGGGTATGTCAGCCAATAAACCTCTTTTATTGCATAAGCCCAATTTTAGTCATGTGTCTTTTGCAGGGGGGCCGTAACTACAAATGAGAAACTCTTGATACACTGGCTTTGTCTGAAAGAGTAATCCAGAAACTCTAGAAAACACCTTCAGGCTAAGCTTTGCTTCTACTTGATGTTGTTAGTAGTATGTGCCATTAGTTCTGTATTCTGTCTTTAATCCTATTGCTACCATCTATATCCTTTAACTCAAGAGAAAGTATCTAGGATATTAAATACAATATGTCCGATTTCAAATCAAAAGTGCAGTTTATTATATCTCAAACAAGAAGCAGTACAATTAATCAAAGTATGCACCTAAACCATCAATACAGTTTTGCCACAGTAGCTTGTTTATGCCAGCAGCGAAGAAGTCTGGAGAACGAATGGTGATGAAATAGCCAAAGGTGTTTTTCACAGCATGTGGAGAACTGAGTATTTTTCCTTGCAAGACATGGTCCAAAGCCTGGAAGAAGTGGTAGTCAGTTAGTGCGAGGACTGGTGAATACAGTGGATGACAGAGAGTTTCCAAGTCCAGCTTCTGTAGTTTCAACGGCGTTGTTTGTGCGACATGCAGTTGAGCTTTGTCTTGCAAGAGGATGGGCCTATCTCTGTTGACTTGGCTGCTTAATAGCAAGCATCCTCATCATTTTGTCCAGTTAGTTGCAGTAGACATCTGTTGTAATTGAATAACCAGGAGCTGTAGTGGATAATACCAGTGCTAGACCACCAAACAGACACCATTAGCTTCTTGTGATGAATATTTGGTTTTGGACTATGTTTCAGCACTTCATCTTTATGCAACCATTGTGACGAATGCTTGCAATTGTCAAAAGGAATCCATTTTTCATCACACATAACAATACGGTATAGAAATGGTTCACCTTTATGTCACAACAGCAAAGAAAGGCAAGCTTTGAGACAATTTCTCTTCTGACACTCATTTAATTCATGCGGAACCCATCTATCCAGCTTCTTTACCTTGTCCATTTGTTTCAAATGGCCCAATATTGTTGGAATAGTAACGTCAAACGTTGCTGCTAATTCACATAAAGGTTGAAATGGATTCGCTTCCACTACAGCTTTCAGCTCATCATTATCCACCTTGGTCTCACGTCGCCCATGTGGCTCATTTTCAAGATTAAAATCACCAGAACAGAACCATCGACATACTGTGCATTCATTAGCCACATCCTTCCCAAACACTTCGTTGA